AAGTAAGAATGGGTCATTGTTCAATTCACCATCTACTACAGCTGCTTCTCTTGTTCACCGTTATGATTCTTGTTGCCTCGATTACCTTCGCCATGCATTGGAAAAGTTTGGGAATGCCGGTAAATTTCTGCACATTTATTTATATCGTGAAAGTTTTTATGGCATCTTGAAGCAACTTGTCTAATGCCTATCGACCTTTCAGTTCCAGCTATCTGTCCAATAGATATACACGGACGCCTTTGTATGGTCGATAATCTCAATAAATTGGGAATTTGTCGACATTTTGCTGAGGAAATTCAGAGTGTACTGGATGAAACTTACCGGTAACCTTCAAAATCACAGATACTCTTGTGCTTGTACAACAATATTAGTTCTGTTAGATTGACTCTCTCCAAGCCTACGCATTTGTAAGTTTTTACTTCTACAAGTCATGACATTAGCCAACCAAAAAAAAAAAAAAAAAAAAAAAAAAAAAAAAAAGATGCTGGCTGCAGGGGGAGGAAGAAATCTTCACAAATGCTTCCACTTGTGCCATGTCATTCAGGATATTGCGCGAATATGGATACAATGTCTCCTCTGGTACCTCAATGACTTGTAATCGTATCAGCTTGTTTTCTTAGAATACTTTTTGTTGTTCAAGTAGTTTTGACGAGTTAGGCGTACATTACAGATCCTGTAGCTCAGTTTCTGGAGCAGGAGCACTGTGGTGGACATTTGAAGGACATATATACTATGTTGGATTTGTATCAAGCGTTAGAAATGATTATTGCTACTGATCAACCTGTTTCTGAGAAATTGAACTCATCCTTACATTTTCTTAGACAGCGACTGGCAAGTGAGGTTTATCCTCCAAGCAGACGTATGAGACAGATCCATGAACAGGTATTTTCCATAAGTTGTGTTATGGTCAGCTCAGATTTCATTGTTATTGTCTCTTTGAGCTAGCTACTGCTACTTATTTTAGGTGGATGATGTTCTTAAGTTCCCTTCTCATGCGAAGTTAGAACGGATAGCCAACAGGAGAAATATAGAGCACTATGAAGTAGATAATACAAGAGTCCTAAAAACTTCATATTGGTAACTTCTGTCTATTTTCTCAAGGACTGATCTTGTGCTTGTTTTGGTTATATGTGCTCCCTTTTGTCAATTACTCAATTCTTCCCTTTTTTGGGACAGTTCGTCAAATTTTGGCAACAAAGATCTCTTAACCTTGGCGGTAGAAGACTTCAACTTTTGCCAATCTATTCACCGCAAAGAATTAAAACAACTTGAGAGGTTCGTATCTTTTTGAACCTTGATCATCGTTCTGGAAGCAGTTGTCACTAGTTGTTTTACAATAGTCAGATCAGAGATGGTATATTTATTAAATCAAACTGGAAAAGCTTAAACCACATATTACTTCTCCCAGATATTTTTTCTTTTCCTTATTTAACTTCTTCGCTTTCGACAACTTCTGAAATTGACAAAAAGATAGTTGATTTTAACTTATATGCAACCTTTTGGCTCATAGGTTTCCTGGTTCTGTTTTCCTTATTACTTGCCAGCGAGTTGGTCTCTACCTTGTTGAGGAAGATATGATATCAAATAGTGAAGAGCTCTCTTTGTGCTATACTTTTCCTGATGTGCAGACTTAAGTGTTTGTGGTAACAGGTGGTTAATACGAAACAGATTGGACAAATTGAAGTTTGCCAGAGAGAAGTCTGCATACTGCTACTTTTCTGCTGCAGCCACAATTTTTCATCCTGAACTATCTGATGCCCGCATGTCATGGGCCAAGAATGGTGTACTTACTACTGTGGTTGATGACTTCTTTGATGTCGGAGGTTCTATGGAAGAATTGAATAACCTAATTCAGTTGTTTAAGAAGTACATGTCTCCTGTCATATTTTCATTGTTATAAATGTTCCTTGGTGATTTCAGCAGTGTCGTCTTATTCAAACCCCTTGGTCTTTTTGGCAGGTGGGATGTAGATGTTAGCACTGACTGCTGTTCGGAGAAAGTGGGCATCATATTTTCAGCGCTTCACAGCACTATTTGTGAGATTGGAGATGAAGCATTTAAGTGGCAAGCACATAATGCGACAAGACACATAACTGATATTGTAAGACTCTTTACCTTTTTTTATAACTAATAGAGATATTGCACTCTATGATATTCATATTGTTTAATTCTCCCACTTATTTTAAATTGTTTGCAGCATGGCATGCCAATCAAGGTTTTTGTTTTTCTGGCATAAGGCATGTCATGCCAAATTTAAGTGTAAAACACAAAAAAGAAAATGTCGATTACACTGTCATTTATCTTGGTTAAGATTTGGTCTGGCGTCGGACATTGGTTTGTTTATCTTTTGAAAACAGAAATTATATATTTAGAAACTACGGAAAAAACTATACCAACGACATATTTCTTAACTTAAAAATGATCAAAGGATTATTAAAATCACTAAAGTCAAGGAAGAATATTGTTGACCCTATGATAGTTACTGGGTCAAGTGTTATGATATAGATACAGTCATCTTTAGAAGAGTGTAAATATTGAGATAAAGATTCTTTAGCACTACATGTTTCATAAAGTAAACCATTAATGTTCATATATTTTCACAATGCTTATTATTAAAATAAGTACTCTATTTTCTCAGGTGTATCTTTTAATATTGGAAGTTCTTTATGTTTCTATTCTGTCGTGACTCATGAATCAATTGCATCTGACATGATGAATTTATCCCAATGAGGAAACTAATTTTCAACATAAATGACAGAGTTAATCAGATGAGGTGTATAGATTAAGATTAGGTTAGTTGATATGGTTATTCGAATCCAATAGTCAGACGAACTCTTTACTAACAGAGGAGGAGTTTTGCAATGAAAATTGCACTAGGAGGGAGATTATTGCATTTTATAGACTTAGGAGGGAGATTTCCTAAACTATGTAAATATAGAAGGGAGGTTAATATGGTTAACCCAAGAAAAAAAACTGATAGATGAAGCAGCATCAAAGTTTAAAACTATGGAACTCAATGTAGTATTTTATCTTTCTTCAGTAAACTCTCGCTTCCCTTACCGTTTACAACTATACCTGGTTGAGTTTCAACTTGTAAAACTTGGTCTCAGACTCATGAATGCAACAACTTTTGTGGTCAAGGATAACAGCTGTAGACTTTTATGACTTTCCAAGATTAATGTCCACCTATTACATTTATAAAATGATGACGTCAACCCCTTCCTCTCAGCAGTGAGCTCTAACAAGTGGACCTTCTTCAATCTGTTAGTTATGCTTTGTCTATATATCAACTCATGCCCTACCCGTGCTAAGAAGAGAAATTTTTTATGGCACATTTATTAGGGATCCAAGCTTCCCATTTTATCCAGTTTGCTGATCCTGTGCGACAACTCTCTTCGTCTTGATACTTGGTTACTGTACCTTTGGCATAACTGCCTTGCTGTTGGGCACATATTTACATTCAACCATGTTTCATCCAGGTTTCTTTGACAGATGTTCTAGTGTCACCATACTTTACCATATAGGTCGAACTCAAGATGCTCTTTCTGTCACATAAACAGTATCCCTCAGCAATTGAGCAGTTGGTTCCTTTCAGTATTACAAGATTCGCCAATATCCTTTGTTTACAAGTGTTTTTATCTAATTTCAAATTGTGTTTGGAAAATCAAGTAGAAAATTCTTGCAGTTATATCTTTTGATTATTTTTTGAGTAAGCTAAAATTATGTTTGCAGTGGTCGAATCTACTGAATGCTATGTTACGAGAAGCTGAATGGGCTAGAGATATGTCTGTGCCAACGATGGATGAATATATCGCCAATGGTTACGTATCATTTGCCTTAGGACCAATTGTCCTCCCAGCACTTTATTTTGTTGGGCCCAAGCTCCCAAATGATGTTGTGCAACACCCCGAATACCAGAGTCTATTCAAGTTAATGAGCACTTGCGGTCGTCTTCTTAATGACATCAGGAGTTTTGAGGTATATATATGCTTCATTATTCTGCATCAGACATTCCCTTTGCTGCTTCATCATTTTCTAAGTTATTTGATCTCTTAAAATATTTTTGCAGAGAGAGTCTAAGGATGGAAAACTAAATGCTGTAGCCTTGAGCGTCATTCATGGGAATGGCAGCGTAAGTGAGGAAGCAGCCATTGGAGATTTGAGCCGTACAATTGAAATCCAAAGGGGAGAACTCCTGAACATGGTTTTGCAAGGAGAGGGCAGCGTAGTTCCACGTGCTTGCAAGGATTTATTTTGGAAAATGAGCAAAGTGCTGCATCACTTTTACATCAAGGACGATGGTTTCAGTTCAATGGCGATGACCGATACTGTGAAGGCAATTATTCATGAACCTATAAATCTTGAGTAAGGTGGACTGGGTATTTACTGATCAACTAAGTGGATAAAATGGGCAAAATAGTCTTTAAAGTTTAAGGGTTGGATTACCTTAGTCCCCAAATGATCCTTAGCACCATCCTTTTCGATAGGGACTGAGTTCAGTTCCAGTTGTAGCAGCTAAAGCTGTCAGCAAAGTAGTCTGCAGTTAGGGTTAGCAGAAACATTGACTAAATTCTGTTACGCTAACAATATATGTTTGGTGGACTAAGTTACAAACTTGGAGGACATTTTATGTTCTATGTAATATTTGAGGGACACAGTTAATTCAATTCCTAAATTAAGGGATTATCTTGCCCATTTGCCTTTATTTCTGGTTCCAGACATTTACTGCTTTAATTCTTTGCCTTCTTTCCTCGCCCTTTGGGGTGGCTTGTGGTGCCAGCCACTAATTCTCTGATCTTTAAATTCTTGTCAGTGCTGGAACTGCTGATTGGAGTGGTGAATATTGGATAATTTACTAGTCCGGAGCACGATACTGCTGAAGTTCACTGCTCACTGGTGTAACTTTTAGGTATTAGTCTTACTAGCAGCTTGCTATACTTTATTAGTGCCTCTCCTGGTTGTATCATAAGCAACTAATCAGAATTTCCTGGTACTCTATATTCATGAAAGCTGTTTATTGAAGAAGCTATATTAATTTAATGAAACTAATACAACTGAGTTCCTAGCCGACCAGCTTTCAGATTGTAAACAATTCATTGCTTCAACTCAATTACTCAAAGACCAAACCCATAAGCATTTTGTTGAAATATTATTCAAGCCCATTTAGCCATCACAGACATGCACCCAGCTCCAAGAAGAAGTGAAATGTGTGCCCCGCATAGAAGTCTGACATTGTTCTGCATCCTTGGATTCATAAAATCTGATGCTAGTATATCAACGAGGGCCATGTAGATTAAAATCCCTGAAGAAGCAGAATTCAGAATCCCTTCGACTATTAGAGAAATAGAGCTATGGGCATTATACACCCTCGATATTCCGATCCCAATCCCAATTCCTGCTGGCGTTGTGAGAGAAAAAAGAACTGACATGATTGCTGTTGATGTAGACTTGAATTTTGCCTGGAAAATTCAACCAAGAGAGAGTATTAGGTGTCGTCAACAATTAGAAACCTTTCGAGTCACTTACCTAATTAACTCTTTGTCAGCATTATGTTATTAGAATATTCTTTGATTATGTCAAAAACTCATGTCATGCTTGTTAGAGAATAAGGATGCTACCTGTGAAATGCAGCCTCCAAGTCCCATACCCTCAAAGAATTGGTGGAATGACAGAGCAACCAATAGAGGCTTTATCATTTCGGTATTTTGTGAGGCACCTAAGGAAACTCCAATTATTATGGAGTGGACCAGAATTCCTAGCTCCAACACCTGATTAAGCCGCAGTAATCACATTAGTATTAATGCTTTTTTGGTCTTAATGCTTGTTCTTATAAGTTTAACCTCTTTTGTGGCAGTAAATATCTAATGGAGCTTACCTGTGATATGATGCGATTTCGTATATTTTCAGACAGAATCAATTCTTGATCAGATCCGATAGAATGAGTCGCCCCATGTGCAACATGGCTGGCATGACTATGACTGTGTTGTATGTCATCCCTGGCTGCTTCTTCGTCTACAATATTGACCTGCTTGGCTATGTGAAAGTGCCTGTTTTGGTAAAAACTCGTTGCAAATGTATCAATCATCAAACATCCAATAGAGGCGATCATGGCAAAGAAACCTGTGAAAGGGAATTTACCCCAAGGGTCCATGCCTTGCAGGCAAGGTGATGTTAGTGTCTGAAATGCATCAGGCAATATGTGGATGAAGCCAGTGGCTAGAATGACACCAGCAGCAAAGGCCTTGATCATGAAGAAAATATCATTTTCGGGCCTCAGAGCTTCAATTTTCCTTGCCAAAAGTGGGAGACTGACCCCAATTGCACCAGCAATCAGTATTGAAACTATTGATATGAGTCTGTATCTAAGGGAATCACTACTGTTTTTGGTGTTTCGCGGTTGATCAACCTTGATGTTGCAAGTGCATTCACCTGAGATTCCAGGGGCGAAGACTAGAATGACAAGGCATGTTAATACTACAGCTTTATAGCAGTAAGAACAAACTTGGACATTGTGGTTATTCATGGTGAGATAAGCTAAATAGAGGAGAAACAGGAGTTAAACAAAAGAAAATCTAGTCTAGTAAAAGGAGACTGGCATTGAGAGACCAGGAAGAAAGTGTTCATTTATATTTATAGAAGAACGTCCTTAGGTGTAATTGAATCGATGATGTGGCCATCGAGTTGGAGTGGGAAGGTTCAATTTGAGTGCCAACGACTTAACTACATGACATCAACTTTTCTGGTAAAACTGCTATTGGATCCCACAGCTTTTTGAGTAGTAACTTAAGATTAGTGAGAAGGACTTTAGTAGTTGGTGGTGACAAAGTGTTGTCATGCAAAAATGCAATTGCCTTTGAAGAAAGGCTTCACAGTTTCTCAACTTTGCATTTAGCACACACTGCTCTGTTGATTTTGTCATATTTGACCTCAGGATGTCGTTATTATGTCGGACTATATATACTATTAATCTTAAACTACCACTATTACTCTTAAAGCAAAAAGGCTTTCTCCTTTCTTCAGCTTTTCGATTATAAAGTAGCCTATTGAGGATATGCTTTCGTGTCCCAACTCCACACAATTTTTTTAAGATAATAATGCGAGTGCTGCTGCAAAAGTTATACAACTTTTTTTTAGCATCTTTGTTTTAGTTTTTAGTCACCAGCCTTCATGCCTAATGATGATTTCGACCTTTAAATTACCGTTGAACTTATTTGTATAATAATCTATATCGATACTATATTAAAAGTACGAAGACCTTTAGCGAAATGTTGTTTTGTTTTACCCTTTTAAAATACAGTTCAAATAGTCATTCAATTAATATCAAATATTTAGGAGTTTGAGATTAATTAAAATTATGGTTAATAAATCTTTTTTATTTGATTTATGTAGGAAATCTTAATATTTAGGACTTTAAAGTCCATTACAATTTTACCTTATATAAATTATTTTCTTATTAGAACTATGTTCCTATTAGTTTTGTCTAATATTTATATTACCTTAGTTGTTCTAACAAAGAAATGGCCATAACAAATAATCATTAACCTTTTGCTTGACTAACCCAAATTTATATTAAATTAAAATACAGAAAAATTCAGTTTTAAGATTCTTTTTCATTCATAGTCAAATTATGTGAATTTTGGGTTTGAACAAATCCTACGTGGTGTAGGGAATTGTCATTCAATACTTTTCAAATCTGTAAGATTTTGAAATAAATTAAAATTTTAACTGTTATTTACATTATATGAGAACTCTTCTACTAATGTAAAATTGAGTAAGATGTCTAATATCTACTAATGTAAATCACTATCAATATGTCTAATGTTTAGGAATACCGTTTCTTTTTCTTTCCTACGTAGAATGAACTCTTCCAACCATCACAAATTGTAACATGGTGTTGATAAATCAAAGTCTCCAAAATACTATCTTTCACAATACTTTTACTTTTTATTTCTTTTTTAAACAAATTAATTTTTAACCACTTTCTTTTATTCTTATTTTATTTCACAAATTAATGTCGACAAATTTGATGTAATTTCATAATGGTCGTGTTGATTAGAAGATGACAATAATAACTAAATTTTAGCAAGAATGTTGCAACTTAATAAAATCTCTATTTTACTTTATATTTAGTAAATGATTCGAAGGGGGAGTAATATATAAGACCTTGAAATCAAAAAAATATATATACGTAAATTTTAGATAGGCTAATATTTAAAATCTTAAAGTTTACTGTGATTTTCTTTTTGAGTTTCTAAAAAGTTTTGACCTTAGACAATCGAACTTTTATTTTATTCTAGAAATAAATTAATTGAAATTAATTCACCAGGTTAAGAATCAGTAAAAGAAGAACATATTATTAAAAAAATATTGTATTAGAATATATTTTTTCCTAGGCAATACCTAAATTACTGTAATGCATAATCCCGTTAACTAGATGGAAATAGACTTTTGTTTTTTGATAAAAAGTAAACTAATATTATTACTAAAAAAATTATTACATATTTTGACATAAGAAATTAAAATTAGCTAGGAAATGGTCTCATATCTAATAGAATTTTTTTATAATTTGTCGCTAATCCACTGCTAAATAAGATTAGTGACGAATTTTATTGTTTAGCTACATATTTTTGTCTGTCGCTAATTTGTTTTGTGCCTGTAGTTGACATGTCTAGAATATGTAGTATATAGATAATCATTTTCAAACAAAGGTAAAACAAAAGAACGAGCATGATAGGTCACAAAGCATTCAAAAAATTTAGTTTTCATGCTTAGCTAGGTCGGCTACTTTATTGATTAAATATGTTTTTTTTTCCTTAAGCAAATATACTACTAGGTCATTATCCTAGTAGCTATTATATATAATAAATTTCAAACCGGGTAAAATTACAGAATGTTTAAGTATCCTACAAACAAACAATGTAGGAGTAGCGTAATGAAAGATGAAAAATATAAGGTTAGTAATTTGCAGCATCCAAATGTTGCCGACGATTGTGAATGTACACACCAGTTGCCAATAATTTGTTGTAGCACCTACAAAGCTCTCACCATACGCCATTTGTTGCAATCCAAGGATTAGGTATATTTAAATCCAGTAGTTGTATAGCAAAGCATTTTGGACGTTGTGATCTTGAGGCTAAAAATTTCAGCATCATTGTTGATACATTGAACATGACTTTGGGATGAAAGCATAATAGCAACAGAGATGCCTGCTTGATACATGAAGACAATATAGTGTCTTCTCATCTCCAGATTGAGCATGCATGCACACTAATACCACTGGATAATGAAATGACACTATACTGTCAATACCAAAATCAAATGTGTGCAGCCGTTTTCCCTCTATTTTATGTGAGTAGATATCCTCAGTTTGATATACCATTACCAACAAATCATGAACCAAGAGGTTGTTCATATGTGCAACCATGTACTGTGTATAAATGCAATCACATTTAGTATAAGCCGTATCTATGAGATGGCTGCTTGACTCCATGGTTCTGTATGGTGTTAAACCACCCACAGAATGAGCATGATAATATGCTAATACCACTGAGAAATAGTCTAACACCACACAAGCATTACACTGCAGTCAAGATCAGGCCATGTGATAACTGTCTGTGTGGGTACATCTGATCGATGTCCAAGCCAAGCTGCTTGTGATGTATAGCATGATAGCTTCCATTTTTCTGATCCTGATGTGTACTGATATCTATATTGTTTCTGAGTATGTACAGCAAATTGCTGACCCCTTCAAGATGATTGAAATTGATCTGTATAGCATGATTGTGTTGTCATCTATGTTGCTGATATTTGGTTATTGTAATGTGCTGAGAATCTTCCATAATGATCATTGCAATATGCTAATACCTCTGGGAGTTGATACTAGCACAAATAGGCAGTAAGACTCTTCAGAGTAGCAGCAAACATATATTGTGTAGAACCAGTATTCTACTGATTATTTGTAATGTCTACACCCCTCTGTATACTTGCCAAAGTAATCTTATCATGTCTATGAAACCTGTAAAATAAAGTAATCAAGTTAGGATGTAGTGTTGTGCTCCCAGGTTTCTGTGTGTATTGAGAACTTTGAAGATGACTAAGTGGTGAGCGGTGAGGAAAGGTTGTTGTTGGTGCTGGCTTGTGATTCTCTTGTTGGTTATCTTCAAGTCATTCCCACATAGCAAGAAACAGTGGCAACTCCAACTGGCAGTTAATGATAGACCATACATTGAACAACAGTAATGGTTCTGCTGAACACCAAGCATTTTTTTGATTGTCTTTTGTGCAAAAGCAGTGCAGGTTGAGAATATACTGTAAACCCAGTAGAGGTTGAACATCCTCTGGCATCTGTATGGAACTAGTCTTTGCCTCAGTTTTCTAATCCTGTTATTGATCCCTGCAAAATGAAGCAACCAAGTTAAGATGCAATGTTGTGCTCCCAGGTTCTGTGTGTGCTGGGAACTTTGATGTTGACTGGGTGATGAATGATGAGGGATGTTGTTGGTGCTAGATTGCGATTCCCTTGTTGGTTATCTTCAAGTCATTCCCACATAGCCCTATGTAGTGGCAACTCCAATTGGTAGTTAATAATGAAGTACTGGTTCTGCTGAAGCTTAATCATTTCTTGATTGTCTTCTGTGCAGAAGCAGTGCTGGTTGTATATTATAGCCTCAGTTTTCTAAGCCTTTTATAATTGTTGAGAGCATAACTGGTGATTCATCCAGGCATATTATAGTCACCACTACTCAGGCATCTACACCCTTCAAGCCTGGTGTATGTAAGCCCAGTAGAGTGAAAGAGAGAGAGCATTTATAACCAAGCAAATATGGCATCCTTTGGTATCTGTATGAGACTAGTCTTTGCCTAAGTTTTCTGATCTTGCTATCCTGCAAAATATAGCAAACAGGGTTATGAAATGTGTCTGTGCTCCCAGATTGTGGCATCTACACCCTTCAATTGGCATATATTTGACCTGCAGATTCAACAATTGTTATACACCTTGTCAAATGATATGCCAACATATTGTTGAGAGCAGTATTGGCATTTACAAGTGGTCACAACAAAAGTGTAGAACCCTTGAGATGTGCAGAAATAATTTGAACATATTGTTGCCTCAATTTTTTGAGGATATTGATTATAACCTACAGTTAACACTACTCAAGCAAAGCCAGTAGAGTGAGAGATATAACAACTATAACCAAACATTTGCAGAGGCAGCGTAGGTCTTTGGTATCTGCAGCCAAGCATTTACAAGTGGTGTGTAAATCCCTGGAGATGGAGTGTCTAAGCCCAGTAGAGTGAGGGGGGGGCAACAGGTCCCCTATAGTCTGGTGTTGTGCAATGTTAGCTATAATTATAACCAAACAAGTATGTACGCCATACAAATGAGAACAACTGCATGTTTAGGAAGGCTAGTTGGTGGAGTTTTACTAGCCTACTTTTCTTTAAATTCTTGCATGTACTGTTAAAAATAATGCAAGGTTTTATATGTTGAGCTCATTAATCAGGTTCTCTTCTCTTCACAACCCTAATTCGAAGGTTAGAAATTTATGATTTGTCCACGTTGATTAGTTTTTTTCCTGCACTTGGAAATTCATTAAATGACTGAAATGCGTGTGTACCTACAAAATTGAAAGCTAGATTAGCAAAAAAATCAGCAACACTGTTTCCTTCCCTTAGTACATGCTGAAAGACAACATTGTAGTTGTTCTTTATATGCTTGATCTTCCTTACTTCAGCACATATACACCAAGGAGTTTCCTATTCGCCATCAATTATCTTCCTCATTACTAAGGAATCAGTCTCCATAATCAGTGGATGTAGCTGCCTTTCCACACAGTATGTCAGCCCCTCCACAATTGCCTTTGCCTCCGCCACTATGTTAGTTGTCTCTCATATCTCTTGTGCTTTCGCAAACACCAAATCTCTAGCATGATCTCGAACACAAAACCCATATGAGCTTGGTCCAGGATTGCCCCTTGATGCACCATCAGTATTGCATTTGAACCACTCTTCATAAGGAAGCTGCCATGTAACTGTCTTAGTCCCCACATATGGCTTGTAACCTTTAAAGAAGCTGATCATATCTGACCATAGAGGAGGAATTCTGGACAGGCATGGGTACCTCATCCTTGCTAGGTAATGTAAAGTCTTATTCACTTCATGAATCACCCTATTGTAGGAAATTGCACCACCATACTTCATTGTATTTCTCCTCTTTCAAAGTTCCCATATGATTACAGCTGGAGCTGCCTGAAATAATGGCATTAGTATAGGAAAACACTTTGCATTCCACCATGTTCTTATTACTTGATGTACCTGTACTATATTGACCACCAAACCTGCTGCTTGAAGGAAGTTTCTCCATACTCTGGTTGCAGTTTCACTAGTTAAGAACAAGTGTTGAAAAAACTCTTCTTGCGGTTGTGAACAACACCAATACTTAGACACTACCAAATACCCATTTCTTCTCCACAAATCGTCAGTAGGAATCTTCCCCTTCCACAATCTTCATAAGAAGAATGAGATTTTAAAAGGTAGACCTTTAGTCTATATCTTACTGTAGTCAGGATTTGCATGAGCTCTATGCCTCAAAATATTCCAAGCACTACTAACAGAAAAATTTCCTGAAGGTGTAGGCATCCATCTAGGAACATCCCAGGAATCTTCAGTAGTGCCAAATATGACTTCTTGCCTGATATGTTGAGCAATGTCCGCGGGGAAAGATTGTGCTAGTAGGTGTTCATCCCAGGTATCATCCACTCTCAATTCAGCTACTTCCTGTATATCTTCATTGATTGTATAGTCATTTGGAACAATATAGTACAGAGCTCCCAGACCAGTCCAATTCTCATGCCAAACATTAGTAGAACCCATATTTATTTCCCATAGTATTTCCTGCTCCACCTCTTCCCTAGCCTCTAACATTTTCCTCCATACATGAGATCCTTGTCTAAATTGGACAGTTGTCGGGGGTTCCTTTTTACAGTACTTGTTCCACATAAAGTTAGACCATAAGGACTTGGATGTCCTAAACTTCCACCACAATTTGGCAAATAAAGCTTTTGATACATCATGCAGTGATCTAAAACCTAAATCCCCTTCTTCCTTTGGAAGGCATAGATTTTGCCATTTTTTCCAATGTCTACTTCTACCTTCTTCCTTGTTACTCCAGAAGAATCTCGCAAAGGTTTTATGAAGGTGTTCAAGTACATTTTTAGGTGGATCAATGACAGAAAGGATGTGCGTTGGCATGCTTTATAGGACACTAGAGATTAATGTAGCTTTTCCCCCATAGGATAGTAGCTTCCCTTTCCAAGAGTGCAATTTTGCCTTTATATTTTTTATCAGGTCATTGTAATAATCCTTCCTTCTTCTTGTGTAGAATATTGGACAACCAAGATAAGTAAATGGAAATTCACCCCTTGAAAATCCAGTGTTAATACCTATAGAGCTAGACACTAATGGGGACACATTAGAGTGTATATAAAAAGAACTCTTTTTCTTATTGATCATTTGGCCTGATGTGTGCTCATACTTGGACAATACTTCTACAATTTTCCTTAAAGAGTATGGATCAGCTGAAGAAAATATTATAGTGTCGTCTACGTAGACCAAATGATTCAATGGATCCGTCCATTTAGGCATCCCAAAGCCCTTGAACCTCGTGTCTTCAAATAGTTTATTTAACGACCTAGACAGTACTTATGAAGAGAGTATGAACAGGGATGGAGAGAGAAGTTCCCCTTGCTTGACCCCTCTTGTTGAGTGAAAGAATCCTGAGGCTTGACCATTAATCATAAAAGAATACTAGTTGTTGGAAATTAAATTCCATATCATGTTGATGAAGCATTCTGCAAATCCCATTTTTCTCAAAACATGCATTAAATACTTCCATGAGACCCTATCATATGCCTTTGCCATGTCAAGTTTGATAACTACATTGGCAGGTTTTCCCCTTAATATTATGTCAGTAACAATCTCTTGTGTTAACAGAATGTTTTCAAATATACTTCTCCCCTTGACAAATCCTGACTGATTGGAAGAGATCAGAGAAGGCAATATTTTTTCCAACCTATCATGAACAACTCTAGAGATAACTTTATTTACAAAATTGCTTAAGATAATAGTTCTTAGGTCATTAAATGTTTGAACCTGTTATTTTTTTGGTAGCAAGACAAGGTTTGTGTGAGTTATAGACTTAGGTAAGGAACTTCCTCCATAAAATAGTTTCAGCATCTCATGTATGTCTTCCCCTATTATATCCCAGCATTCTTGAAAGAAAATACCTGTGAAACCATCTAGCCCACTTGCACTTTCACCACTCAGTGAAAAAACCGCTGCCTTTACCTCCTCTATTGTAGGAATTCTACAAAGTTCTATGTTTTGATCACAAGACACCATTGAGGGCACATTGTTGAGGAGCTCAGAACTTGTATGATCAGCTTCATGTGTGAACTGTTTGTGGAAAAATTCAACTGCTGCATCAACCATCCGTTCTTGCGACTCAATCCAATTACCATCATGGTTCTGGATCCTCTTCAGTTGGATTTTCTTCCTTTTACCATTCGCATGGTTATGAAAGAAACTAGTGTTTCTGTCTCCTTCTGCAAACCAGGACATACCTGCTTTTTGTTTCCAATATTGTTCCTCTATGCTCAGATATCTCTTTAATTCAGACTGTGCCTTCTAAAGTACAATTCTATTCTCAATTGTAGGTTCTTCTTCAAAAAGCATTTCCTTTATTCTGACCACATCTTCCCTTAAAGATAGTCGCTTGAAGATATCCCCTTAAGTGAGCCTACTCCATTTTGAAAGAGCAATTTTAACTGTTTTTAATTTCTGTTTGAACATCCAGAAGGGGTCACCTGTAAAGTCAGCTTGCCAATTTTGTCGAACCACCTCCCTAAAAGTGGCATGTTTTGTCCAAAAATTCAGAAACTTGAATGGTTTAGTAAATGTGATTATCGTGTCACCACAAGTCATAAACAGTGGTGCATGATCCGAGCCTGTTCTAATAAGATGTTCGACCTCTGTAGTTGGGAATAAAGATTGGAATGGGGAATTGAAAAAGATTTTGTCCAGTATTTTAAATATGCATTCTGCATTTGGCCTCCCATTCCACCATGTGAAGGGACTTTCTTTGTAACCAGTGTCAAAGAGTTCACATGAGTTTACACAGAAGGCGAAGTCTTCATATTCTGGAGGATAGACTGGAAGCCCTCCAATTTTCTCTTCTTCATTCAAAAGCACATTAAAATTCCCTCCAACTAGCCATGGTAGTTCCATGTCACTTGCAAGGTAGTATAAACTGTCCCATAATTCTAATCTGTCCAGTGATGAGCACTTAGCGTATACGAAAGTCATCATGATATATTTACCAATATTTTGATGATAGACTCTGATAGTAAGTTGTTGTTCCATGTCAATTAATAAGTCCCACTGCATGACTGAATCCAGAAATATCCATACCTTGCCATTGACATTTGAAATCGCAGCATACATGCCTAGTCTCCTCCTGTAGTTTTGAATAAATCTTTGATTTTAAAAAGGTTCCATAAGTGCTATAAAAAAAAACCATGTTCCTTTTGCATGTTGATAACTCTCTGAAAGGCCTGTTGTGTCTTAACAGACCTAATATTCCATATGAGTATTTTAATCATCATCTAGTCGTGGAGGCTGCCCTTTTGGGCAATATTCTTGTGGGTGGTAGTTGTTCCTTTAATTGGTTTTGCTTCTTTCCTTTCTTCCCCTATTTAGTAGACAACCTAGGTGACAAATCTCTTTCTCTTGCAACAGCCTTGAAGTTCCCAGCAATAGATTCATTGTCACCTTCATCTTCTAGTTGCTCTTTATTGACCAAGGGAATATGAAGTTCCATTGGCTGTTGGTTGTGTGTAATAATGTCATGCATTACATGATTTGGAGATTTCAATGGTTCAATTACTTGGATCTGTATTGGAGATCATGTATCTGTTGTACAAGCCATAGCCAATGTATTAATTGCAGTTGGCTCCTTTGGTACAGTAGTTGTACCATTCTGTTCATATACAACGATATCATCCTTCCCAACCACATCTTTGGGTTCTGGAGCATCATCACTGACTTTGTCATTTGGTATGGTTGCCACTATTGGTCTTTGAATAGTGGCTAGAAGTTTTCCAGTTGCGTTGCTACTCAAAGCATTGTTGGGTAACGCATTGTGAAGCTGTTATGGAATTGGCTTTTCCTTATGATCATCAACTCTTGGTATTGTTTGTTTCCCTGTTCCATAACTTTTTAGTTCGGTCCCTAGTTGTACAGATCCTGTTGTATTGCCATTAGGCATAGGAGATTCCATACATGTCTATAAGGGAATATCCTGACATGAGTGGTTGAGTGTAACATTAAGGACTTCCTTGTTCATTCCAAAACTCCTTTGAACCCATTCAATAGTATTTTCCTTTGTCACAGCTGGTGATACCCCAACAATTATAGCAGTATTGTTTGTACCAATTCCTGGATCTTTTGGATTGCCACTAGATTTGTCAGCAGTCCTGATATGTTGGTTCTCTTGAGTTATGTTTGTTTCCACTGTTTCATGCTTGTGCTGTTTGTCGTTTATCTGGTCCCTGCCATTGTTATCTCCATCAGTTGCAGCATCAATACCAGTAGTCCTGGCACTTGATTCTGCCATATTCTCCAGAGCACTTGTCGTGTCAGTTTGTGGATTGGTCTGTGAACCATGGTTCTGAGTTTTTGTGGTTATATATTTTGCATTCATTTGTTCATAAGGCTGTTTGTGTTTCTTTTGCTTGTTTTTTTGGTTGATACCCTTGAAGTTCTTCTTCTTTTGAGATTGCCATTGATCCTTGGAGTGGTTTGCATTTATTATTTATTATGTTGTAGGTTTGATTTTTTCGCTGTTGTTCTTCATTTTGGTCTTGTACCACTACTTTTTGGTTGTAGTTTTGTTCTTTGTGCTGCCCTGGTATGATGTGCTCCTTTTGATGTTGTATTCTATTTGCTCTTTCAGTATTATTTGATATATGTTTGGTTTGAGTTTGTGGGGTTTCAACAGCTGCTTTTTTCTTGTCTTCTTCTTCTTTTTCTCGAATAGGGCATGAGTAGTCTTCATGTCCTAAGTGCTTGCAATGTGAGCAATATGTTGGTAGATCCTCATATACCACTTCTAGCTACTGTCCATCCCCGTTAACATCCTGATCTTCATCAAAGCCTAGCCAAACATGATGAGGCCTGAATTGAGTCAAGCCAACCTGCATTTTGACTTTAGCTACACTTCCTCTTGTTTTCTGCATAGAGGCTAGGTCGAGATGCAATACCTTACCAATAGGAGACAACAATACAGATAGGACCTCTATGTAGTAGAAATTCCATGGTAGTTCAGGAATGACTATCCAAACAGGAACTATTGGGTTATCCCCATTCGGGTTGAAGTTAGGTGTCCAAGCTTGTAATTCCATTCTTTGACTTTGTATGTACATGAAGGTTTTTGTCCAGACAGTTGTGTAATCGTATTCATTGTCTAGATCAATGTAGACTGTGCAAGCATTGAAATGGGCTATTTTAACTCCTCTTAGTTCGGTTTGTGATATGAAGCTTCTCCTGATCACCTCCATTCGAGGCATTGTGTTAAGAAATTTCCCTACAATTGTATATTGGCATCTGGATGCAAGGGTGATCATGTAGTCCTTCTTAGTAAATGTGACAGTCGGTTGGCCCTGTTTGGTAGTTATTTTGGGGTGTGTGAACTCTATTGGGGCTATTTCTGCTGCCTGCCTTGCTCTTAATTTTGTATCAAGTGAATGAGTTATGATAGGAGGTGATAGGGCATGAAAGTTAGTTGGTTTAGGTGGCTGGGCAGTAACTTCTGTTTGGTTTAGTTTGGTTGCTGATTTTGTTGAGTAAAATTAGGTAATTTGGTGGACATTTGCATATGGTTGTACGAAGTGTGTGTGCTTTGGTATATAAAAACTGGTTAAGATGCTTTGATGTGTGTTTGCATCTGATGTACTGATTGTTTGACTATGGTATTTGGTATGTTGTGTATTTTCTTTTGGTGTTAACATCTGAGCGTTAGTGTGATGATGCTTAGTCTTAGTATTATTTTTTTTCTGGAAAGCATGTGCTTTGTCAAAGTTGGTGGAGATCTTAGGAAAATTTACTGGCATTGATATTTGATTGAGTTGGGGATTAGTTTGAGCATTGACATTCCTAGGTAAATCAGTATTTGCTGCATTAGACACATATGTTGC